GGTATGTCGTTATCACAATCCCGGGATCCCGGAATTAGTCCCAGAATTTAGATATTCGTTACTTTTCAACAACTTAAATCGAAAAATTTCTTCTATATAGTTTGAGAAGCTCTCCTACCATAAAATAAATAATAAATAAATGGGTTTGAAACCTACTTTTTTATTTAAGTGTCGTTTTTATTTTATCTCTCTGACGTCAGAATTTATTTTAAAGGACTTTGTAATTTCAAAGATATGATTAATTCCAAAAATTATTTAAAAAATTCAATGCAATGTAGAATAAAAATATGGGCACCAAATTCAAGGGGAAATTTCTTCAGCATTTAAAAAAAAATAAAATTTTTTGGATTCACAAGGGACGAATAGGTAATTTTTTAAGCTGATAAAGTTAGATGGATGAAATTCGTGGATGTTATCGAGTTTATGTAAGTCCTACATATAATTTTTTCAAAAACAAATATTGCCAAATTTCAAGGATAAAATTTTAAAAGGACATTTTCAATACTTATTAGTCTATCTGCACCAAAAACTTTAATCTGTTTAAATTCTACAGGATTTCCTCATTAAAACCCATACTTCTTCTCCAAGCACATTTCTCTGAATTTTTTTATAGTTTCTGAATAACTGACGTCAGAGTGAAAAACTAAAAACGCAATTTTACTATATTTGGCCTGGGATACTGGGATTAACATTCCTAATGTGCACTAATTTTTATTGATCTAATTTTTTTATTTATTTATTTATTTATTTATTTATTTAGCCAAACAGTATACAAGATCTTATAGGCTACAGCAATTAAGTTAATAAAATATAAAAATACCTTACTTATAAAAATTTATTAAAGAGCTCATGAAGTGATTTTTCGAACTTGAAATATCTATCTCGATGAGTTTGGCAATTCTGTTGAACTCAATCAAAGCTCTAGTAATTGGAGCATTTTTAGCATAAAGAGCTCTACACAAACCAACATGGAAAAACTCGGAATTATGTGTATATGTATGTATACACATACTTCTACATTCTATATACACACATTCATATGTAGGTGCAAATGCACTCGTGAAGATGGATGATTTAGCACTAATAAAAAAAAAAATTGATTTAAAGTATGAAATAAAATTGTTATGGTTTTCAGTGAAACGAAGCATTGGCTAGAAAAAGAAAGAAAAAAAAGTATAAAAGACTTAGTAAAGATTTTATACAAAAGTAAGTAAAGCAATTGTGCATACATAGTACAATAGAGCAACGCATATGAGCAAATTTCACGAGTTGTTTAATTTTTCGACAAAAACGTGTTGGACAGCGTGTTTCGTCAGTTTTGCATAGAGAATAAAATTTCATAGCGAAATTGTATTTAAATGAAATCTTAAAAAAGATATTCCAAAAGAAAATATTCAAATAAGAATATACCCATAGTTGCGTATGTAGCGTATACGCCGCGTAGCACCATACCCAGCCAGCTAACACGTTTACTAGAACGCCTTAACTTGAAAGTCATATTATGTATTTAAAAGTAATTAAATATAGTCGTGGAATATTTTCCTATAGCATTCTTCACGAATCTATTACTAATTTCTTCACATATATAACAATTTTAGAAAGAATTTCCAGTGTGCCAATAAAAATTGTAAAATTGCAATTTTTATTTCGTAAATTCTTTTGCATTTGGGGGAACACTAGGTTTATTACTCTAGTGTTAAAATTTTTAGGTGTCTTAAACTTTTAAAATTAAAAAACCGCCAAAGTTCAAAATTTATAAAATAGCTGCCACTTTTTTTTTTTTTATTTGGTGCCACACTTTCGAAACTTCACAGATATCTTGCATTTGGTACCAAATTTCATTGCCTCTATTATATGGACATTCTATTTAAAAACTTCCCGAAACAAATAAACGTTTTAAGGCTTAAACTGTTCAGATACTTGGTTTATTTTTTATTTAACTTATTTCTGGAACTCCATTGCTTGAAATACATAAATGTAAGAAGAATGCTTTGAAGAATGCTTGACACCAAGAAAACTACCCTTGAGATTTGCTCATATGATGTCTTTAGTTCCATCGAAGGAGGAGATAAACTGTCCGAGTTAATTTTGAAAAGGACATGGACACACATGACGTAAAATAATGTTCTACCTGCGATTTATGAAAAATAAGGAAAATAACGATTTCGTAAAGTGAAAAATAGAGAAAATCGATTAGAGTTCGCAAAGAAAAGGGGTATTTCTCTTCGTGAGTAGAAAATTGTATAGTTTTGTGATTAAACAAAGTTAAATAGGATTATACCAGATAGAAAAATAAACTTTCACCAACCGCAATACCAGAACCTGGACTGTTAGTATTTGAGTTGACGTCGTTATTAATTAGTTCCATGCAACTGTAAATATGTCCGACGTATGTGGATCTATACATTTTTAGAATCGTACTCACTAATCCCTTCTTCGCTGAGATCATTTGCTAATTATATTCCATAAATGTACCTACGTATGTACATAGTTATGTTCATGTGTTTTTGCTGTAGAAATACTAAATTCTGAATTTAGTATGCTTTCCTCACTTTCATTTGCCACTTTGTTGCTAAACCCCATTCCTCCTATACATGCAAGACAGTCCAATTTACACAGTTCATACTTATGTAGTAAAAATTATTTTAATTTAGAATAAACAAAAAGCACATGGCACATTTCTATTACAATGTAGTATCGCTACTCACATATGTATATGAATACACACTTTCATATGTATGTGAAAGAATATGTATGTCAGACATACATACATCTATAGATGCATATATGGCTGCAAAAATTGTACGTAAATAAACATGTGCAAACATTTGTGGAATTGTATGTGTTTATATATGTATATACCCACATATGCATGTATAAATATATACTTGCCTATATAAAAACATACATGCTTAGTGGCATGTTTGTGAATTCCCCTTATGAATCTCATGCACATGAGTAAATTTTATTAGCTTGAAGTTCAAATCTGTGCTGACCCTCGGTCATTTTAGCGACAGCAAAAGTATTAAGCAAGCAATAAAAGAGTGATCTCAAGCGTTGACGTTTAGCCAGACACTAAACAGTGTGTAATTTAGGGGTTGCCAGCCTTCCTGAAATAGCTTTATTGCTTAAACGCCTAAATGTATGAAAGGGCTAAGCTGAAGAATGGTGACCCAGTACAGGTCGTATTCTAAAATAACATTTATATATGACGCCTGGGATAGAAAAATGTTTGCCTCAGATATTCGTTAAATAATTTAGGGCTTAACATGAATTCAGAAAAAAATTATACATATTTTCGCTTTTTCCAGCAATAATAAACTTGCCAACCACTTTAAAAATATAAGCGAAGTGTTTGGTTGAAATAAGAGACTTCGATTTTTTTTTGTATTCTTAGACTTTGAAGACTTTTTTTGTATTTTTTAGTGAAGAAATAAGTTTTAGACTTTGACTTCAAATTGGTAGGAATTGAAATTCGCTGGGAAGTGAACTTCAGAACCTGCACATATTTTAAATTTATTTAGGAGTTTACCCTAACTGTTTAGATTTTTTGGTAATTTGTGAAGATTTCTCAAATAAAATATATGCAGTGGGCGACAAGAGTCTATGGACAGAGAATTTTTCGCTATGAATGCGAAGCTTTTTATTTTCATATCTTTTCGCTATTGTTTTTTAAAACTATAGTTGCGAAAACATCTCTGTACGTAGACTTTTGTCGCACACTGAACATTCATGGCAATAGGTTTTTCTTATTTTTCGGGCAATCGGGCGTATGCATAAAACCTAAGCAATTACTTTTTCTTAAAATTTCATACTTTTCACACAAAATTTTTTTTTGGAAAAATTGAGTGAAAGGTCTGACATTTTAAGAAAAAGCATTTCGCTAGCTTAGAGTGAAAAGTTGCTAATTCCCATTTTAAAAATTTTACAGGAGAGGAAAAAAACTTCTTATAGACATACAACATTTTGGCGGTTTAAAGCGAAGCAAAACTTCATATGAATCAGAAGGATTCGATCTTTATTAAAAGATTTCGTACTCTTTTGGCCTTATCGGATTTTCGCTGCATCTTTTTGACTTAGCAAAGTGTCCTTTCATTGAATATAAACGAGAATGAATAAAACAAGTACCTCTATCCTTTTTAAAACAACAATTAATTTTAATTTCTGTACCTTCCTGTATTAAAATATGAGTTTTCATAAAAAGTGGACTTAGCAACTTTTCACTCTAAGCTAGCGATTTGCTTAATATTTTTTTTGCATACGGCCCAATATCGAATTACGAACATTTTATAAAATTTTATGCAGCGTAATTTGATTTCAATTTTGTAGACGTTATTTCCAATGTCAAATTCAGAACTTACTTTGTTTGGCAACTCTGCCACACATCATTTCATGGTTTTAGAGCCCTAACGCTTCTGGGAAAATCCATTTTCAGCGCATTCTAAACGCATAGTAATTGACAACGCTCTGGGTGAGTAATGGAGTTAAAATTGCTGGTCGCTAATGGATAAAACCATCAAATAAATACATACATACTTTAACGAATCTACGAGATGTTCATGTACATACATACATACACACATATAAGAAAGAGTTAAACGCATCCCTGTGCATTTGTACACATGTGCATAAATTCCTAGTAACAACAATTGAAGAAAATTCCGTTGACATTGAAGCGGAAAAATAGAGAAAGTGTTTAGCACTCATGGGAAACTCTGAATTTGATTTTTTCTATGTCTCTACTCGTAGATAAATACATATCTACATAGTATGCAGCTAGTTAAATTGACTGCTACTGGAGTAAATTCCCACAGCACATGAGTACTAATACCCATTAGCTATATGCACATGTACATACATACATACATACATACATATGCATATTAAAGGCCGCCTTATTAGCATTCCATTGCGTTTTATTTTCCTCAAATACGCACTTAATTAGCACTAAATATTTAAAATTTTTTTTTTAATATTGTTTTTTTTTTTTAATTTTCCAGATAATGTCGACTCGAACTACGACGACACCCGCCTATCCAGCAACGACCACGCCTACTCCTCCTATCCTTACACCCACTATGTTAGATACACATTTAGCCACAACAATCTTAAGAGCAGTGACCATGCCCAATTCAAGTACGAATACAAGTAATATTGCTAATGATAACCACCCAACAATCACCAACCACAACACCACCACCCCCACGACCCCCACGACCCCCACCACTACCCACACACACCACGACACAATGCACACACATGCGCAGAGCATAAGCGGGCGACTGCAGCGATATTGCGCACAGGCTATAGCAGCAACGAGCAGCAGGCGAAGAAGAAGAAGGCGTGATGATATTAACAACAATAACAACAACAACAACCACCACAACAGCAGCAACAATACAACGAATTGCAATATCAATAACTGCAATCAGTGCTACTACAGCAATAACCATCAAATTGCGTTTAATACGCCTTCCAGTGCGGCACTGGACGACACAGATCACTACGATCACAACAATAACAGTAACAACAACTATAGCAGTAGCCATAACAACAATACTTCCAGCGGGAGCAGCAATATCAACTTAATTAAAACTATAACAAGAACAATTTCACCTGCAATACAACTATTAAATGCGACTAGCTCTTCAAAAGCCGCCACCTACATCGGTGCGTTGCTCGTCCTTACCACGCTATGTTCCTTCTGTGTTGCTTCACCCTGCGATCTACACAGCTGGTGGGATCCGCTCAAGGACAAATGTATTACGTGCACTGTGTGTGAGGGGGATTTGATACCGTTGCGTCCGTGTCAGTTGCATCGTGACACGATATGCGGTTCCATTTATGATCTGAAGATCGATTGGGTGGTTCTGGCGAAAACGGAACCCAACTGGAAGGAGGTGAGTCGTTTAAAACGATTTAAAGCGATTGAATGTGACTTGTAACTGTTTTTACAATGAATTGTAGCAGTCAGTGGTAAACTGATGATTTTCAATACAAAGTGAATTAAAGTTAACTACTGAATGCGAGCTCTCCACTATAATAACGCTTTTTTCTGGCAAAATGCGTTTTATTTCTTAATATAGTTTTCATCTAGTAAAAAGCCAGATTTTCATTGGATATTTGGTGACAAAAATTTTAATAGCAAAGTTGGTCCTTTAAAAATAGATGTGTCATAACTCGCTACAGTCAGTCCAGCTATCTAGGATCGAAGCTATGCTTCAGATTAAGTAGAGATCGTTAATGGCTTTCGGAATATTTAGCTTATTGCTGAATCTTAGATAAATATTATCTCCTATAGAGTTTGCGGCTTCACGGAGACACACTATACCTGCATTTCTTTATACATTCCAGATAATCTCATCTCACAGGCAGAATAAATCGATTGCCTGTGCAATATATGACGATATTTAAATCTCTAGCCCCGTGTCATGATAGGCGGTAGCGCTCCGAGGCCATCTAAGTAATTATTTTGAGGGCCCTTTTTAGTGGTTTCCTCGAATCGCTCTTCAAACACCAGTCTACAGCAATGTGACTAAGCACTAGGGGACGTAGAGAGAAAACCCCGGTCCCGGACTGAAAAATCACGCGCCCCTATACATTATTTGTAATAATTTAAAAGCATGTAATCCATTCAGAGTTTCCATTTATGCATAGAGTCAGAAAAAATCAGCTGAATAGGAATAAATTTATGATAAAAGCCTATAACGGAGAAGCAGTTTCTCGCGGAAATATGGAAAAATTATTGTTTCTATGTATAATGAAAAACATGGTTATTGAAAGCATGTGCTATGTTTTCTTAACAACAACAAATGTTTTCTTGCTAATAACAAGTTATGGTTCCGATATTTCAGGCCCGTTAAAAAGCCCGAACTCGGGGGATCAAAAAGCTAGGAACCAAAGTAAAATTATACTCGAAAAGCTGCTGCACCGGATTTTATTTTGGTCATAAGCACCCTTGCCCATATGGCTGTGACAGCTTCCACTTATTCTTGCTGCTGCACCTCAGCATAGTAGCAACCTAGTTCTAACAGGAGAATTGCACAGGTTTGGTCACCAAAAAGTGAGAGGACACTCTAAGATTAGCACTCGTCAAGCTTGTCTTAGAAAGGCGACTTCACACAATGGCTGTTATTTGGGACTTCTCGGGCAGATTGGTCCACCGTCTACTTATAAAATAAATAGCTTCCTTAAAATATTCCTAGTTTATTTAAGTAACTTTCACAGGGCGGTGGTTCGAAACGTCACAAACGAAGTTTTCGCCGGCCAGATGCTCTTTAAAAGCATAGCAGAACTGGCCATACCTTCCCACCACTTTAGTCATGGAAGAAGGAGACAGAATTGACAAGACCATATTGTTGCGAACCCACCTGCTTTCCTGGGCACCACCTATATAGATTTAGGTGCTCTTAAATCCCACATTGGCTTCTGCGGATGTAGATTTCATAAACCATGATCGCTTGTCAGCTGTAGAAGCTGGTGGTAGACACTGGCGGATTTCGGCCGCCTGCGTTTCGCCTCCTTTCCCTCCACTTCAGAGAAAATTGAGTCAAAACTGCGGGACACTTGGAGAAATAACTACTCCCTTCTCTTCACGGATCTCCCTCACGTAAACTCCGGGCACTTGTGCGATAGTTTGGCTCCCCATGACCTTGCCGAAAATGCAGGTTAATTTCCACTCGTTTTCGGCACTTTAGACGATCAGTTTGACAGTTTAGCCTAACAATTTTCTAGGTGCAATTTATTCCTGTTGCCAAAGTGATGGGTGTTTCTAAACCCAATCAGCGTCAAAGAGCGTGTATCTAAAAGTCGACCTAAAACTGCAAGTTCTTATATTTTGGGCAAAGTGGTTGATATTTAAATATCTATTATCTTGGTGAATTCCAAATAGGAAAAAAGTCTGAGAGAAAATGTCTGTAAAAAATTATGAAATGCATGGAGCAACTTGAGTTAGAACTGTTTGCCGGTAGTAATATTATTTCATTTCCCTTACTCTTTAAGCCCGTAAAGTCTTTATATTACTTTACAATTTCTTAACTTATTCTATTCCCGCAGCGCCGAAAGGACGACGGCGACATGGACTTTGAGGAACAATTGACACAAGATGAGTTACAGCAACTGCAAGATGGAACACTGCCGATGGCTTGGCAGACAACGGCGCTCTTTATGGCCGTGTTAGCCTGCTTGCTCTTTTTCATTATAGCAGCCGGCATTTTAGTGCATCACATGCGGCAATGGCGGCGTATGGAGCGTCGACTTGATCAAGGTGAGTGCGTGTTTGGAAATTATGAGCAAAATAAAAATGAATATGCGTAATTAAAAGTCTCCCGAGTGTAAAGAGTTTTATGGGCTTCGCTGGCACCTAAGAGCGCTATTCCGTCTTGTGAAAGATATTCATTTTTTGGCAGGGTAAAACAGAAAAGGAGAAGTGGCACACCCCATAACGGCCAATAAATTTCAATAAACCGATTTATGATCTTAATAATAGGCGCATAAAACTTTTTTCATACACTTAGATGTGTATAAAATTATAGCCAGCTCACTATTTCGTCTTCACACTCGCATACACTAAGACAGATATGTACTATTGCTTTAAACACCTGCAACCGCAATCAAATTTTGTGCTGATTTAATGTTGACCATAAATTGGCAATATCTAATGCGTATTTCCTGCGCTCTGGGGAGTCTGTCGTAAAAATTCCAAATTTATTTATTGGCATTAAAAATTGTACGATAACAACTTCGTATGGAGCAGTTTAGTCATCTTGCTGGAAAGAAGCCTTAAAAAGTTGCATAAGAGTACCAATGCACACAAAATACTAATAAATTATAATCATCTAAAAGCATAGACAGATGGCAGCGTTGATCCGGATCAACTCGTTAAATCGGAATTATTTCGGCAATTAACTACAGTTGATCCGGATTAAGTACTAGAATTCATTCTAAAAACTTAATGATGCTCCCGGAAATTTTCAATTACAAAACTGACCAAAATGGCGGCACTCCGGACCGCAGCTGGATGCCTTTTGATGTCGCCACAACACCACTTACACGAGGGGGCCCAGAGGCTCCCCATCAAGGAGCATAACACAATGCTCTGTAAGCAGTTCATAGTAGGGTGCCACAGAACCGGGCACTCTAACAGACCCCCCTTTTCGCAGCTGAGCTCTCGCCAAGGCACATCAGGAGATATCTATACGAACTGAAGGACGACTATAAGAGGTTCAAGAAACAACCTCTGGCTCCGACAGGCTATAAACGGTGTGAATGCCGTTTTGATCGGGACAGAGCTTTGTCTGCCTCGGGAGAGTCGCACCACACTAGCCCAACTTCGCTCTGAATGTGCCCAAAGAGCGCCCGGCATACGAAGAGTCGCCGCAAGGCTCACGGCACCTCTTCACATGCCTCCAAAACCCCACCTAGCTAACGCCCTTGTCCCTATGGACAGATCTGGGTCTCCCGTTAGCAAAGCCTGATGACATCGTTTAATGGACAAACCGATCTAGGCAGGGCTGAGCTGCCGCTACAACAACAACAGCGAAATAGACGCGCGGACTAGTTAAGCTCGTTCTCTGTATTCTACATTCTCTGTGTAAACAAATAAGCAAATAATGCCAAGGAGTTTGGGTCGGCGGAGTGCTTAGAACTGTGTACTCCAACTCACATTATCATTATTATTTTTTTTTGATGATATTTCACATAACTACTTCAAGTTGATTGAATTTGTAAGAGCTTATATTTATCAAAAAAGTCCACAATCGCAAAAAAAGTTAAAAAAATATTGGTGCTCATGGGATTTGACCCCACGCCCTCGCAGTTCGCTTAACCGCAATACTGTCGTATGTCAGGGTATAATTTCGATTTGATCAACTTCGCCGTTAGTGCGTATTAACGTTGTCGTCTGCCTATGTTATAAGTGCGCATGTAGAAGTTACTCGTACATACTATGCCTCGAATCCTTAGGCACAGACCTCTACGCACGTGCAGAACTTAATTCTTGCCCGCACACACCAATTCCCCTCATAAGACTACATCAATAGCCAACTACGCGTACTACTCTTAGCAGTTCTTCGTAACTTCCTTACTATTATTCCTTCTGCATTCGCTTGTAATTTATTCCATTCACGTTCGCTGTTACTTTGTGTGTTGAAGATTTGATTCTGCTTCGCCCGTGGCTAACAACGATCTTAGCATTGATCTTTGGCAAAGAACTACTTACTCCACTCGTACTTATTCCCAGCTAACGCTAGAGTGGATAATGGCATACAGTAGCGGCATTTGAGTGTCAGCATATGAGAAACTTGTTTGCCAAAGCGTTTACAAACATGCTTACATACACAGTATTTAATGTTGTTGTTCGTTTGCATGGCAGGCAGGAGTATTTAAAATTCCTGTCACATGCTCCTGCCTAGGTGTTTCTGCAGTTGTTTGTTTACCAGCCAACTATTTGTTTCTTTTGTGACGTTTACCTTGCAAGTTCCCTCAACTGATCTTTTGTGGATTGTTCATAGAAGTCTTTGAGGTTAGCGGAAAGTCACTGTACGTGGCCTAAACTTGTAAACAAACAGGCTTTCCATATGTACATATGTATGTATGTATTGATGCTCCTATGGGCACACAGGTGTAGAAGATTTTATCTCTAAAGGGGGATTGAATGCTTATTTCTTTCGTGACGGTCGACAAAATCAATGCATCTAGGCTTTTGCATTATTCTTATTAAGCATAGCAGTGTTTTTGAAGCGTTCAAGCCCTTGACATTTTTACAGAAATATATATATTAAAATGACCATTCGATGCCATGGCCCACTTGCATAGATCGATAAAACCTTGAGTTGTATTTACTACTATTTACTTAATTAGAGGGCAGGTAAGGTTAGATCATATTGGTTAGCTCTGACGAGGGACGCAGTTGGACAATTAAGAGATTGTCCTTTGCGATACCACGAAAATTTAACGGAGGCCATTATTCAGTTGGCAAAACGCTGCGAGCCGATTGCGAAGCTACGACTGCGGCTAATTTCAACTTGCAATTGCGCATGTCCTTGCTTTTACCCAGCGCTCGCTGAGCTTACTTGCGGTCCAACCGTCCAAGAGTGAACCAGGAGCCAGAGGCATCCCTAGATGTTCCCCATCCGGTTGAAACATTTCAGGGGTGCCTTTCCTTGCAAATCCATCCGACACGTTGTTTCCCGTACTCGGACGCGGTTCAGACTTTGATAACCGCCTGGTTCAGCAGGGGGTTTGTGCCTAAAAGTATACAACGCCTCGAAGGAAATATAACATATACATATATATAATGCTTATGATTTTATATAGAAGGCCTTCAGCTTTCGCGTTGCAAATTTTGTAGCGATAGAAATTTAGCGTAGCAATTTATATAATCCCATTGCAGGGCTCTGATAGATGCCTGGCTATCAGATGTATTATATGCTAACTTCCCTAACTGATGTCACATTTTTCCGCTTCCTTGATATTAGCTATTTCTGCCTGAAAGTCACTGCAGAAGATTGGAAGTAATTGAACGATGTCGTTTTTAGAAATCTCTGCCATCTTCTAAGAAAATTTCTTATGGGGCACAAATGAGATCTCCTGAAGAGGATTGAAATATGAGGGTCTAAATGCTGAGGTCTCTTCTCACCGATTAAAATCTCAACCAATACATAGAGTTACAGCTTTGTTGAGCTGCACGTTCCTATCAGGTATATACATTGAGTATTCAGAAAAATCGGCTATTAGAGAAAGATTTTTAAAGGCACCGAGGGGCATGTATGCTAACTAATGGAGCACTACCCTCCAACGCGACTAATGCCCCGGAAATAGCACTAAAATAAAGGAGCCCAGATTTTGCTATTCCAAAATTCCAGACGCCTGCCCAGGTGAATGGGTAAAAGATTCGGTTCTTTAAACAAACTCACACTCTCCTACGATATATACCTACTGAAGGGCCAAAATTAACCCAGGAGTAGAAAATGGGGTATGCGCGAAAGAGTTTTCGCCTGTCCCCTTCGGGAGCCATAATTACTGAGTGGGTACACTAGGAACGCAGTAAATACTGGAGAGCGGTGGGGTGCCTTAGACAGGCCAGGCTCTTCGGCTGCCCTTTTAATAGAAACGATATTGTCCTACCAAATAGAAATCACATCAGGCTACGTTCTGGGTATCTGACTGGTCACAACCAATTGCGATTCCACTTGCACCGAATAGGTCGGGATGCCGCCTCTGCCTCGAGGCTGATGAAACTTCGGAGAATATTCTATGTCACTGTCCGGCCTTAGCTAGACAAAGACTGATTTATTTTAAGTTTTCGATGGTCGAACCCTTTGTTATTAGGAATTCGTCTACCAAGCCCCTTTTACGATTCATTAGGGACTCCTTTAAAGAGATACAAAAGATCTTTTAGGACGTGGTGTCTCTTGTTCTAGATCACCCAGAAAATTAACTAAGTAAGCAGCTATGGATAGCTAAGCCACCTTTAGTTCTTTAGAAAGTTATTCAAGATAAATTGGGTGACTGGTTATAAACATATTTTGGGCAACTGCCAAGCGGACTAAGGTACGAGGTCAGGTCTTCTCACAAAATACAGGCATAGCGCTGCCATTGAGCAAGCTTTCGAGTTGGCTAAAAATCAAAGATGGGTTGTTGAGTCGGTAAGAACAGAACCTATGCTTTTCTGCAATTGGAACGTTATGTGCTACTGTCATATGGGAACGCACGCCAGCAGAACGCGCTTCCCGGCAAATAACTATCGCTGTTGTCATGGCGATGGGGAAGTCAAGAGTACTGCAGCATTTTTTTGGCACTATCTAGATCGGGCTATACTTGGGCGGCGGTTAGGCGGTTAGGCGGTTAAGTGAATCCCCGGATAATTAAACAAGAAATGTTTGCATTTTGCCAAGCCTAAATAGGCGTTGTATACTGCAGTTAGGATAGAGTGTGTTTGCTGGCTTCATCTACACGGATGAAGGCGCATTTCAGCGTGACGGTAACGTTTAATTGGTTGCGGTAACGTTTAATTGGTGCAATGTTTATTCCGACCGCCAGACAGTAAAAGTAATAATGTTGAAATGAGCGTCTTCTCGCGCCCGGTAGGGCAGGGCACTTACAGAAGTAGCACTTTACGCTTTCGGTTACTTCCTAATGACGACAGTTGCGGCAAAAGTCGTTGGCAGTAACATTCCTCTAGAACGCTTTCCCGCTACGCTAAGTAGAGCACTGTGTGAATCGGACCTCTTCTTGTCGAAGCTAGATTAGATTGGTAGGGTCGTC